GGCGGTGTGGTGGCGTCGATGAGGAGGAGGAGAGGAAGATGAGGAACCTGGTGTGGGGTCGCCAGCGGCACCTGATGGCTGTGGCCAACGAGCCAGAGCTGTGCTGGCCCCAGGGCTTTTCTTGGAATCACCATGCCGTGGTTCACTTCGTGGTGCCAGGTAAGGGGGACCTGCCTGCCCTGGACGTCGAGGGATGGCACGATGGGCAGTTCCCATGAGGGCAGTCCTGAAGAGTGGGTCTGGGCCAGCCTCAGCCATCTTATTTGGGTCACTTCCAATTTCTGTTCTCTCGAGGTTAAACCCCCTCAGAAATGTGACAGGGCCCAAACTCCCATGGCTTCTAAGCTGAAAGAAAACTCCTGTCATACACTGGGAAAGAACCCACACTGATTCCTGGGCTCTTTGGTCCAGGTTTTCAGCCTGGGCCTGTTTCAGCATCCCTGCAAGGTTAGCAGCATTTGAGGGGAGGCAAGGAACCTTACCTGTTCAGAAGCCACACCATCTTTGAAATCAGTTTTGCTTTGATTCTCCCCCTCTTGCAATACAACCAGTGAAAAACCAGGCACGTTGGGTGCTGCAGTTCATCTCTGACATGGAAGAGCTGTTCCGAGTCACGAAGGATCCGTACTTCAACATTATCGTCACGGACTACAGCAGCGATGACATGGATGTAGAGAAGGCTCTGAAAAGGTCTGCCTTGCCCAGGTGAGATTACTGCTTCGTCACAAAAAACTGCTCACGTGCTTACGCCTGCAAGCACAGCGCATCTGCCAGTCTCTGTGTATTGACCAGCCACAGCTTCCTGCAGCTGGAAACCAAGAGATAACATCCACCCAGACCTTGCACATATACACGAATACGTTGTTGTTATGAAATCCATACACGTATACTGCATATAATAGTGTTACAGAACTGTAAGGCAGGGCCTGTTGTAGTCATCCATCCAGATGCATGTCCTTTTCTCCTGGCTTGTGTTCAAATTTCCAAGAGAGAAGAGAAAGCAAGTCTCACAGTGATGGGGCAGGGGGAGGACAGAGAAGGTGAGAAAGCTGAGAAACGGGACAGAGAGCTTGGAGACCTCTGGGAACTCTGCTTGGTGGAGTAACTGTCTGGCTTACTCTACTCTGATCTGCACCAGCCTTGGCTGGTCGTTTGCTTTACATGCCAGGGGTTCCCAGTAGCAGGTCTAGTCCTAGGACAGACCTGGTCTAGAGCTGGAAAGACTTTTGCTAGGGACTGCCCCATCCTTGCTGTACAAGGGGGAAGACCCTCAGGGTACTCCGGGACCTGGAGCAGCGCTGAGCTTGTGCACTCACACCGCAAAGGCTTTCCTCCTCCTTGGGAGGGTGCAGGGGGGCGAGGGCAGCTCCACAGCATGGCGCCCGCGGGGTAGCACGAGCGGTGCTTTCTGCGCTCCCCGGTGTGGACGTGATGAATTTCTCTTTCCTGTCTGACCCCCAGCTATCGGTACTTGAAGCTGACAGGCAATTTCGAGCGTTCTGCTGGGCTGCAGGCGGGGATAGACCTCGTGACGGTAAGTTTGGGGAGCTTGGGGTGGACAGGAAGATAAACAGCATATGTCTGGTGCTACCTCTTGCCTTTCATACTGAACATGCTGGGTTTTAAGGAAGGGAATAGCCTTGCAGACCAGATCAAGCGTAGGTGTGGTTCCTGTCCCTCCAGAGTAAGAGTTTCACCCCTTACTCCAAGGAGCCTGTGGTCCGTTCGGTTCTTGGCCCACCTGCTGGACTATCAGACAGGAGGGAAATCAGCAGTAGCACCTTTGTGAGCCAGGTCACAGTCATAGCAGTTCATGCCCATTGTTCAACAGCCAGTCAGTGTTTGCCAGCCCCTAGGATCTCAATTTCTGATCTAGCAACAAATGGCTCTTTAACTCACTCCCTTATCTCTGTCTTCACACCCCTAAAGAAAGACCTCCCTAAAGTCAACCTGTTTTTTTCCCGATCGGCGTGGTTGGTTCCAGGACCCGCATAGCATCATTTTCCTGTGCGACCTCCACATCCACTTCCCGGCTGGGGTCATCGATTCGATCCGGAAGCACTGTGTGGAAGGCAAGATGGCCTTTGCACCCATGGTCATGAGGCTGCACTGCGGCATGTCCCCACAGTGGCCTGATGGTAAGAGGAAACAGAGCCTCTTTGGCTCAGACCTTGCAGAATGGGGAAAGAAGGAGGGTGCCTGCCACCTCTAGATTTATTCCTCTGGTGCTATCAAAGTCTGGAGCTTAAGGTACTTCCAGGGCCACTAGGTGAGAGTGCTTTAGACATAGGATGGGGTTTAACAGTGTCAGGCACCTGGAATTTGAGATCAAAGAGCCAGCAGAGCCCTTTCTATGATATTGCTCCTGGTAATCGCCCAGGGCTCTCTGTAGGTTTAAGGACCTTGGAAAACCCCTCCTTTACTCCTTTCTGTCCATTTCTCTCTTTTCTTAGGGGGCACAACCTGTCCTGAGGAGTACTGGTAGCCTGGGTGTGAGGGAAACCAACCCAAGTCGGGGGGTGGAAAGTGGCACAGATCATCTGAGCACAGGACTTCCTTTAGACAGAGGTGTCCATCCTAAGCCATCCAGGCACAGGGGCAACCCTTTGAAGCTGGGACAGTCCAGCTACATTAGGTACTATGCTGCCAGACAGGAGATGTGAGAGGCTCTGCTGGCAAGTTCATAGGACGGCCCGTGCTGTCTGTCCACAAGCCCTTCTCATTTCCCAAAGCTTTAATATGGTGGGCTCTGCCTTGGTGCCAAATTGACTCTCTGGTGTCCACATTGTGCTAAAAGTAGCTGGAGTCTCACTCCAGCAGCCATGCTGGAGTCATCAGTGATTCAAAGCACCAACATACCTGTGCCTCTTTTGTGCTGTCCTTAGGCTACTGGGAGGTAAATGGGTTTGGTCTCCTGGGCATATACAAGTCTGACCTGGACAAGATCGGAGGCATGAACACAAAAGAATTTCGGGACCGCTGGGGAGGAGAGGACTGGGAACTCCTGGACAGGTAGGCATCAGTTGTCATCATTCATATGCTGAGGAGGTGAGACCCATTAGATCCTGGAGGACCTATGAGTGGGGATCTGAGGAGACTGAGGTGACTGATGCCACCATAAGCTTAGTCAGTGAGGGAGAGTCTCTGAGCGTGTCCTGACCTCAAACCTAGTAGATGAGTGGACCTGAAATACACCACTACAGCTGCTGTTAACAGCAGAGAGGAGCAGTTTCCTGGTGCCTTCCAGCCACACTGCTGGTTGGCCACGGGCAGATGGGGCACTGGTGATCATGAAGACTTTGTCCACTCCAAGCAGCGCAGTGCACAGTGGGTCCAGTCTGGGTCCCTCAGACTTCCCGTACCATGTGTAGCAATTGCCCAGGAGAGCAACTGTCAGAGAGACATAGAAAAATCACTAGGCACCGTCACAATTTCTGAGAAGTTATGATAAGGGATCTCTGCTGTACAAATGATCGGCCTCTGGGTTTGTAGCTCTAGGTTTTGGGGCCTCTCCTGTCATTTCTGTCAGATACCTGCAGAAAACGTGAGCATCCTGAGCAATCCCATGTTGCCACCTGTCTTTTCTCCTAGCCTGGCGTGTGCAGCCCACTCCCAACCAGTCCTGTTCTCAGGGGTGCATAAACACTCAGCATGTGTCGTGAGATGCCTGCTTGTGGGGACGAGATACCTCTGAGCTATTCGGGACTCTTCAATTTGATTGCAGTCTCTTGACAACAGGATGGCATAAAAGAGGTTTCCTGGGGCCAACCCCCGGGTATGGTTGCCAAGAAGGCCAATGGGATCCTGGGGTGCATTAAGAGGAATGTGACCAGCAGGTCAAGGGAGGTTCTCCTTCCCCTCTACACTGCCCTAGTGAAGCCCCATCTGGAGTACTGTGTCCAGTTCTGGGCTTCCCAGTTCAAGAAAGATGAGGAGTTACTGGAGAGAGTCCAGCAGAGGGCTACAAGGATGGTGAGGGGACTGGAACATCTGTGCTATGAGGAAAGGTTGAGGGAGCTGGGCTTGTTTAGCCTCAAGAAGAGAAGGCTGCAAGGGGACCTAATAAATGCTTATAAATATCTGCAGGGTGGGTGTCAGGAGGATGGGGCCAAGCTCTTTTCAGTGGTGCTCAGAGACAGGACAAGGGGCAACGGGCACAAACTGAAGCATAGGAAGTTCCGTCTGAACATGAAGAAGAACTTCTTCCCTCTGAGGGTGACAGAGCACTGGAACAGGCTGCCCAGGGAGGTTGTGGAGTCTCCTTCTCTGGAGATATTCAAGACTCACCTGGACAAGGTCCCGTGCAGGAGACCCTGGTTTTTCAGGGTGGTTGGACTAGATGACCCACAGAGGTCCCTTCCAACCCCGACCATTCTGTGATTCTGTGATTCTGTATCTTTGTGGTCAAGTTTTCCCTAATTTTAACCTTCTTCTTTATGGCAGGATCTTGCAGGCCGGGCTGGAAGTGGAGCGTCTCTCCCTGAGAAACTTTTTCCACTGGTTTCACTCGAAGCGGGGCATGTGGAACCGGCGCCAGCTGAAGACACTGTAGCCTTCAACCCCAAAGCTGCCCAGCAGCGCCGTCCACCATCTCGTCTCGACGTGCACTTTATCGAGGCACACAGCTGAGCACACAAACTCTTCCTCTGCCTCCAGGGCCTTCTGAATGGGATGGCACAGCTGAGGAAGGGACGGTCAGGCTAGAGGAGCGGGAGCTTCTCTTGGGAGCCGTTGCATCCAAGACGTGGGATCTGTGTCTTGCTGGGAGGGCGTGTGGGGGAGACGTCACCAAGTGAAGGACTCGTATTTCCTGCCATGCGGTCTGGCAGATGGTACAATGGGAGAGGTGCCATATTTCCCGTTGAGTCTTGCGTGATGCAAACCAAGCAAACACAAATCCCAGCTAAGCCCAGAATGGTTTATTACAGTAATGCAGCTTCTCTTTCAATACTTGAAGGAAAAAAAGAAAAAAAAACCCAACCTTCCCCATTTCCCCTCCTTCCCCCCATCTTTCCAGTATCCATGCTTTTGAAAAGGGGACCAAAGTAAGTTCTCTGAACTGTGTTGTGTCCACATGACCGTGTGCTGATCCAAGGAAATCTGGATGTGGAGGAGCTGATAGGCACTTTAGGCTGCTGGTGCTTAGACGTTTCTCTGTGCTTTTCGTGTTAGTCATTACGAAAAACTGTGCTTATATTCAGCAGATTATGGGCCATGGGTGGAGGTGCGAGTACACCTCCCTCACGAGAGCCACGTTTGCCTGCAGCTAGGCAAGGTGGCAGGGGCTGGTGTTACAGCTCCACCTAAATTATTGATCCACTGCCTGAGGATAGTGGAGGGGTTGTACAGAGAAGCGAGGAGGGCATCTCAGGAGGAACTTCGCAGCCTTATCTGACAGACGTGTGTTTGTCCTAACGATATCAGGGAATCCCTAGCAGGGAAGAAGTGGCAATATTTTATTAGTTGAAATATTGTGATTTTGTCAGAAGAAGAGGAGACAGAGTATTCTGCTCTCTAAATCCTGTACATTTAAGCAGCATCTAAAGGTTAATTTAATAAGTTATGGCCTCGCAGTTACGTGTTGTCATAGTTTGACTTTTATGTAAAGAGCAGACTTCTTGGTTGAAGAACCGACACAGCTGTTGGTGCTTCATCTCTGGAACAGCCCTGGGAGCTCTGGCCCGGTACGGAGGAGGTGGCCTCAGGCCTTGGCACTTGCACTGGGTGCAAAGAACAGTGAGGACAGAAGAGGGCTGAGTGAATAAAAGGATGGGCAGACCCATGCTGGTGTTGGTGCAAGACCTATGGGAAGAGCCTCTGACCACAGCCAGCCTGATGCTAGATGGAATTCTCAGCCCTTAAAACTCCCGTTAATGCAAGGGAAGATTTTTTAACCCCGTAACCGTTTTACAGGACTAGAAATCCCAGCACAGTCAGCACTCTGCCCTGCACCATTGGTCTCCCCATGCTGTGCTGAAAAGGCCGCTGCTGGTCGGAGCTTCAGGTGAGAGCGTGAGGTAGGGTGCTGCTCCTGGCGCCCGGCCCTGGGGAGGGTTGTTGAGAAGTGAGTGATGGACGTATGCAGGATACAAGCAATGCTGGCATGGTACTGGAGTTGTTTGTTTTTTATACTGGTGGAGTGGATGCCAGTTCGGAACGGGCACTCCTTTATTATTAATTCTGTGGTGCTTGACAAGTCCACCAAGTTCCACTATTGCAGTAGAAAACTCAACATGCACGTTCTGGCACGTGAGACAGAAATCTTGTCAGATCAGCTGCTTGCCTTGGTCTGCCTTTTGTGACAGACGGGGTCAGAAGAAGTCAACCAGATTTCAGAAGGTTTTGCTGTGCAGTGGGCGGATACGGTGGGAGGTACAGGAGAGGCAGCTGTGTCTCTGAGTCCACAGACGTTGAATATCTTGGAAGGGGCAGCCTTATCCTTCTGCCCAAGCCACAGCAGTCTTTCTATTGAGGGAAAGTATGTTCCCCATCTAGAGACTAAGAAATGAAACACTGCTGTTGGGGTGAGAGGGAAGACGCTGACCACAGTCAACGCTACTGTTTTTTTTAATGTATTACGGGAGTTTAGGAGGCCAGAGCCCGGTGATGCAATGTTGCACTAAGTCCTGTTTCTGCTTGGAATGTGCAGTGTCAGTCGTGCTCTCGGTGCGTGTCGGAGCCTGTGCTTCGCTCAGACACAGGCACAACCCCGCCAGCGTGCAGGTGAGCTGCTCTCCGGGCTCCGGGACTGCTCCTCCGCAGCCTGTCCGGGCTGGCTCCGTCACGCAATCCCTGTGGAATGGGGAGGGGCTGGCGGCGAGGGCGAGCGCCGGGACGCGGCAGGGCGTTAGCAGGACCCAGCTGTTTGGCAGAGAACGGCTCGATGCGCGCTTTG